GCCCGTGCTCCTAACATGTATGCAAAAAACGAACGAGCTAGCTATAAAAGATTTTTAAAGATTGTACGCATGGGTAGCTGTTGGCTACAATTTTAAAAGTAATTTTGTTTAGTACGAGGTTCTTAGCAATAGTAGCGGGAAGATAACCTTCCAGGTATACAAGGACAAGATTTTGGAGTTTGTAGTAAGTTCCTGGCTACGGGATAGCCAGGATTTTGTTTTAAAAGAGGATAATGATTCTGGGTACAGCACAAGCAAAAGCAAATATTGTAAGAACTTGGAAAGAAATTAACAATCTCAAGTCCTTTTGGAACTGTAGTTTATTTCTTAATATTCCGGCTATCGAAAAGGCCTGGAAAAGGCTTAAAAACAAAGTGCACAACCAGCCTGTATATAACGATACTATAGTAAAGGAATTGGCAAAGGAGGCTTAGTACGAACAAAGCCAGGATACAATTAATGGCTTTGTTAACGAGATCCCTTAAATACTTTCAAAAATTATCGAAGGCGAAGGAAAAATGACTGCCTATTAATTTGTATATAAAATATAAGCGCTAGCTATTCTTTGTGGTGTTTTATTTGCTTTTGAAGTGGTGGCCCCTTTTTGTGAGGATCATTTTTTTTTCATGCGGTGGGTCGGTAAAATGAGGGAAGGAATAGGCGGGGATAGATGGAGGCGTCGACATCGGAGTACAACATGCAGAAGGTGGGCGTTGCACTGCGTCGAAAAGGGGAGACCGTTGACGATCGCAGTTGCTCAACGCCACCAAGATGCCCACCGTGGGCTGGCTCCGACGCCAAGTCGTTATCGCGGGCCCTTGGTTGGGCCTGGGCCTAGGTTCGAGATGGACAGCAGCTGCATCCAACGCCTGCTGCAGCGTGTGCTGGGGCTGCTTGGGACGTGGGTACGGTGGGCGGGAAGCGCCCATCTCCACGCCATGAATGGCTGGAGCGGAGCATCAATTCCATGCTTCGATGCTTCGTCGTCACTCGTCGTCACAGCCCGCGCGCCGTCTCACGCCCGTGGCCATTATCACATGTCAGACTTTCCCTAAACGCACGCGTCCTGGAGCTGGTGGGCTGCAGCTGCCCTAAACAGGGACAGGGGTGGTTGCGGGGCTCTTATCGGCACCGTCTTCAAGTCTTGGTGGCATCGACAAGGGGTACGGTACGTACCTGGAGGTACCTCGCCACACAGCACACCACCTAGCTCACACACGGCCCCGTCAGAGCGACGATGGATCGAACCGATTTTTTTCTTCTCTTTTCCTCCCTCGCTCTTCCTTTTCGCTCCATCATTTTGATATATCTCGTTCTCCTAGAGCAACCTGTGCGGTTCGCGTCCTGCTATCCAATGGAACGGCCTGCGTGCTCAAGCGCGACTTCCTGGCCAGGATGTTGGGAATTTGAGCGTTCCTGCCGATTTCCTCACATAGAAGGGGCGTTTCCCATCATGGCCGCATCGCATTCCACGCAACGGGGCCACGCCAAGGGCAACTTCCCGAGCGAGGCGGGGGCGGTCTTGTCCATGTCCCGCTGTCTGGGCACCATTTGCCAGGGATGTTTTCGGTTTTCGGACGCAGTGGTGTTATTATTGGATATCATACTTTCATCTGCGGCTCGCTCCTGAGAAAAAGGCCTGCGGTTTCTGCGTTGCTCGTGAATGTACCCACTGCCCAAAGAGTGACAGAATATGGAAAGCCGATGACCGGCCACACGTGCGGCGGCGTCGACGGCTCTCGGGGGAAGGTCCTGCCTTCCGTCTCAGGAGGCGATAGAAGCATCCATGGCCAGGGCAGGCGAGACATCAATCGATTTGACCCTGGCAAGCCGGCAAGGTGAGGCAGGTACATCCGTGGGGGGTGTGCCCACCACCAGGAGTGCAGGCCATGTCGTACCCAACAAATGGAGACGGCAAGCACATGCTAAAAACATTAGACCTGTCTTCGTTTTCGTCCCTGCCAAAGGAAAAAAAACCATGCTTGGTGAATAAGTGATCCGTCAAGACGTATGGGTGGCGTTCAAATAACCTGTCTCGGCTCTTCCTTTTACCTGTCTCCCGCCGCTCTCGTCCTCCCTTCCCCAACATCTTGGACGTCTGCCATCTTCACCTGCCGCACACTTCACACCTTCGGCCTCCTCCCTCAAACAAGCCAGCCCTGTTTGGCAAATCCAATCCGAACACACGTCTCCAACATCCACCAGCGACACGTCGTCACACGAAGCAGACCAAGCATCACTCATCACTCAATTTAACGACTCACGGTGTAAGTGGCCAATCCCCTCTAATCTGCGATTTCATCCCCCACACATTCCCCGACATCCTCTTGCGCGCGCTCGCCTTCGCCGCCGCCCTGTTGCCCAAATAAGTCCGGTGTTTGTATTCTTCGCTGGCTTGTGTCGGACCACTCCCAGACACATCAGCTGAAGTCTACCGGCTCTAGTACTAAAGCTTACCCGGCAGCTCCTCCAGCAGAGCAATAGCTTCGCGCTCGCGCCAACGCATGAGCTTGTCGCATCCACATCTGCTCCAGCTCTCTCGCCCTTTCTCTCGCTCTCCCACTCTTGCGATTGTTCCACGCCTTTCGCAGTTTTCTTCCAGAGAACCCATCGAACCTGTCCTCCCTCGATCCGAAGCAATGTCTGCACCTCAAGTTAACGGCGAGGTCCCACACTCGGCCTTCATTGATGTAAGTTGAGAAATCCCATGTTTTACCCACCACTCCTCGTCTAATAAGAAAGACCATCTCCGCGGCCGGGGGCGGTTCGGTCTGCGGCGC